TTATAAGCCGCACTGCCGATTTTGGATCAAAATTTAGGATTTTTAGTGCGGCTTATGGTCGTGAAAATACGGTAATTATCACTAGCATCTTTTTCTCCTATGTTAGTAGAACAAGACTTTTCTTTCTTTACTTTCTACATCAAAGACTTAAGTTTTATTAAACCAAGTCAGGAATATATAAAGCTTCAAGTGCCCACATCAATATGGAAGTCAGAAACATGAAAGTCATCTATGGCACCAATCTTTGTTACATTCTGGCACATGCTTGCTTTATTTATTTATATTTTTATAGCCACCCATCTCACTAGTGTGAGTCTGAGCAGCTTACAGGTTAAAAACAACAACAAAAACCCCTCCAAACATATATAAATAAAAATAATTTGAGCAATAAGTCGCAAACATAAAAGCACAGAAGAATGCCATCCGGACTTCACAAGCAATGCAATCACCATGCAGGCTCTTCACAGCCATGCCCTCAGGGACTTTTTAAAGGCCAACAAGGTTGGGATAAAGTTGGCATGGTGGAGGCACAATAGCACTTAGACTTACAGCCCTTTCTAAGCAGTTTACAGTCAGCCTCTTGCCCCCAACAATCTGGGTCCTCATTTTACCAACCTTGGAAGGATGGAAGGCTGAGTCAACCTTGAGCCGGTCACGATTGAACTGCTGGCAGTGGGCAGAGTTAGCCTGCAATACTTCGCTCTAACCACTGCACCACCATGGATATACTATATTTAGCCTTATATTTAACAAGAAAAAACAAATTAAGCCCCAATAGGAGATTACAGGAATAGGATTTCAGACTAGACTGTAAATCCGTCCGTCCGTCCGTCCACCCACCCACCCCAAAAGAAACCAATGGGGAACCATTCTGTACTGCGGCCAAAAAGATCTGCACAAATACGTCCCAGCCAGGGAATTCAACATTGACTCTGTTAGGGGTATCTCCGTTGGGAGACAGACAGTAGCGCAGCGGAATGTACAGCTAGAGAGAAAGAATGTTGCTAGTAGAAACACACGAATAGAGTTTCAGACACTGCTAGTAGCTTTACTACTGATAATTGCTTCACAAGCAGTGATAGTAGATATTAGTCCAAACACAATTCAAAGAACAAACAATAGCTGACAGTCGCCGTTCTCATTCCAGTCATCAAGCATAGGACAAGCAGAGAGAGAGAGTGAACTCTCTTGAGTCCTTCTGATTGTGAAGTTAATTACAACTGTTAAGTACATCCACTCATTTAAAGCAACAATGACCATTTGTTATTGTATTTAGATATATATTGCCTACCCAACACTAGGAGTAAACTCCCAACAGACTTTTCCTCCTCTGCATTTGGCCAGACATTGTTGAATGA